TATGATACATCAATCTAATGAAAAAATGCATTCAAGCATTAGGATGTTCTGTTTAGTTCAAGCAGTAGATTGCCACATTAGAGTTTATATCTTACATTTCAGTGAAAGGTCATGGGCTCTCCCACACCAGAGACATTCAAAAAGAAACTGGACAGCCATTTGAGTGGGATGGTGTAAATTCATGACCTGAAACAGCATATGGTTGGACCCAATGGCCTTCTTGGTCCCTTCCAACTCTACTATTCTATGGACCTCATATTACATCTCATTCAACAAAAGCAGCTTTATGTTTATTGGTCTCAGCAATCTCATTAGAGTTTGCCTAAGCTGATCAACTATTGGAGCAATACCACTACTATTACTTTTAATCATATATTTTGGCAGTGTCTAGTGGAAGTAAAGAAAAAGAATTGTATTTGAAAATTCTCCATTATTTTCTGATGTGCATGTGCTTCCAAATTATCTACCTTTGTCTTGGAAATCAAAGTTTGGTGGATCTAAATGGATTTTCCGCAACCTTTTGGCAGATACTACAACAAATGGAAATTTAAAAGCTCATCTATATGCAATGAATGGAAGACTTAGGCCAGGTCCTATGGCCTCCAGATAATGCCTTGTTGAAGTTCATGTGTAATTGATTCATTTGGATTTATGCTGTTATTTAAATATTCACATATCAGTAATTGCTGATGTCATGTGTTTTTCCCTTGTTTCTTTGTTTTCTTTTGCTTTAGTGAAATTCACAATAAAAATGGGGGAGGGGGAGTACTTCTGGCCCCACCAGGATAATGGAGCAAATTAGAGATCAGGGACAGTGAACCTTCCCAGCCAAAATTATCTCTTTTGGCTTCCTCTATTGTTTTAGCATTGGAGCTGGTATGTGTCACATGGTCATGTGAAGTGTCAGTGCTGCTGTTTGGTATTATCTGCTTTTCTGAAGACACATTCCCAGGTGAAGCCTGTGCTAAGATCTAATGCAGCAAAGCTTGTGGTAGTATGAGGGAGGAGGGAAGGAGTCTGCAATGATCCAAAGTCTCAGAGCACCCACGCTTTATGTAGCACAAAGATCCTTTCTGCTTATTGGTTTTTGCACCGCAGATAACTTTTTTGCTATTAACTTTAGCAGTCCCTCCCCGTCCATTTTCTTTTAGATTCAAATGTTCCTACAGATCTTCAAACTGAAGAACAAAACAAAACAAAGAGAAAGAAAGAAAGAAATGTCGAGAATTAGATGCACCACACTCTGTTTTCCCAGGAAAGAATATGACTGAATTATAGGAGCATTGGAAGCTCCTATTTATACTAAGTAGGACCTTTCAGGCCAGTATGGTCAACACTGTCTGGCAGTTCTTCAGGCAGGTGTTTTCCTTGCCCTGTATGGAAATACTGGGACCCGGGACCTTCCACATGCAAAGCAGATGCTGCCCCACTGACACAAACTCCTATTTTGGTTGCTCCCTACAAAATGATGTTTAAGAAACCCTGTAGCAGCTGATTTGACAAGATCCTATGTGCTAAACCAGGGTGGATTTTAAAAGGTGGGTTAGGTAACATAAATGGACTTGAAAGTGAGAAGAGACCCCCTTTATTTTCCAGCCTAGAAAAACCTCTTAATGTAGAATTTTACAACCAGGCAATGGTAAATAGAAGTTGCTCAAATTAAGTTATTCTGTGTAGCAGGCACACTTGATGCTTTGGCAGATTTTCCTAAGCTTGATGTTAAGCATTCAGGGTCTCCATCTAGAGTGCTGAACTTTGCCAAGCATCAAATACTGCTCTATTGTCAGAGAGGCTCATTACTTGAAACCTAATGATGGCCCCAAAGGACCACATGAGCAGTAATTTCCCTCTAGCCTTGGCAACCTCTCTCACCTTTTGATCATGCCACAGCAAGTGACACTGAATATTTGCCAGGGTCTAATACAGCTACCTAGGAAATCATAAAGCAATGACCAAGCTTTAGAAAAATGGAGGGAAGCCAGGCAGGATTATTACAGAGGCCAGAGAAACCACTTGTTAATATGGTCTTGTGCTCTGCCTTTCCGAACAAGAAACTTCTACAGATAAAAAATGGAGATGAAAAGGGAGAATCGTGTTTTACTTGTAGAGGTTTTCACTAACTCAAATGGTGCCCAAAAAGAGGTGCTGGAGGTCCGTTTAAGTTTCAACATCTAAGGACAGCACAAAAATATTAAAATTGTTGCACTAACAGTTGCCATTCAAATGTTGAATATTAAATTGTATTAGAGAACATTTATTAAAATATGTTGTACTATCCACTACCATGTTGTCAGTAGTTGAACTGTTATACCCTCCCCTCTACAAATGTTTTCTCAGTAAATAGTTTTCAGAAATAACAAATCAAGTCATCCAATAATCCTCTGCACGGAGCCACAAAAGGCACAACTAGCCAACATGGGCTATGATGTGGCTAGTTACATGCCTTTCAAAAGTTCCCAGCCTCTTGACATGCAGGTCCATCTCTCCATCTCGCCTTTAGAGATGGACCTGCATGGCAAAGGGTTGGGAGCAGTGAGGGACACATATGAGAGTATAGTGGAAGGTTTAAACTCATAGTCTGTCAAATTTGAATGATAGTTCAAATAGGCTTTGAGGTGATACATGTTCATTCTGCACAACTGAGCCACAGCACTTTCATTCATTCATTCATTCATTCATTCATTCATTCATTCATTCATTCATTCAAAGCATTTATATCCCGTCCTTCTGCCAAGCACTCAGGATGGCTGTAAAGATCTGTTGTGGCTAGAAGGTGGTGCAGAACATGGGATAAGGAGTGGTTCTATGAATTGACTGATAATGAAAAGTGGCCTTAAAGCTGAATGGTCCTTGTCACTTCGAGTATTTTCTCAGTACCTTGTTTCCAAGTTCTGCATTTTGCTGGACAGTTGGTCTATTGCAGGAATAATCACCAAGGCCTTTGCAACCCTTTATTCGGCAGGCGTAGGACTTCCAGAAAGTGTCAGTTCCCTACCCCTCACTCAGCACTAATCTAATCAAGTCACATAGCACATGTCTTGGAGAGAGGTAGACGGAACCAGGAAGGAACTACTCTGAAAACCCATGCAGAACCAGGGATGCATTAATACTTGGTTTGTCTTGTCATGTTACAGTAGTATTTTTAAAAATCCAGCAAATGTACATTTCAAATATAAATACATGCTTAGATGAAACAAATAAATTTAGAGAATCCTTTAATTGCCATCTAAATGAAAAAAGGCTTTTTCCAGAATAACTGGAATCTGTATTTCAATAAATCTGTGTTTCCTTTGGATCTCCTTGACTTGACCCTGCTGGTTAATGGGTATGAGATAATTTGAAATTGAAGGACTACTGTCATTATCTTAGACACAGAGACTTTTGCTATCTGTATAGCAGTTCCTAATAAACAAGGTTTATAGAGTGAAATAATAAATCAACATATACACGAGGAGACACAAATAAATGATTAATGTTATTATTCTCTCCTTAGAATTTGATAAACCTATATATCTCCTTTGATTCCTCTCTCCAGGGCTCCACATAAAACCAGGGTAACTGATTATAGTTTATATAAAATGTACTTTTAGTAGAGAAAAAGACTTCAGCTTTCAACCGTTTAGTTCTAAAAAAGGCAGCTTTTTGTATTTGATATCTTTCAAAGACTTTAGACAAGTGCAAATAATGAGATAGTAAGAGGCTTACATGCTTTGGTCATGATTCAGATGAGCTCTTTTTTCATGTATACAAACAGCCAGTATGTTTTTCCCCCATTTTCCTTTGGAGCTGTTTAGTTTAATACAGGCATTTAAATATGGGAACAATCTACTCCCATGTGCAGAGCACCACAGTGGTGAGAGGGATCTCCACAAAGGAGTGAGGAACAACTGGTGGCCCTCTTGATGTTTTGGCCTACAATTCCCATAATCCTTCAGCACTGGTTGTAGTAGTTATAGAAGTTATGGAGTGAGGGAAGCTGTGGCCCTGCCAATGCTTTGACCAACAAAGGTCACACTGCATAGCAATTCTATTGAGCTGCATAGCAATTCTATTGAAGGTCTTCCTGGACTTCACCTCTCTCTCTGCTCAGCGCATTACCTGCTAAGCCACAATATAGCTTGACTGTTACCGTGAGAAGAATACTCTTCTGCACTTCACAGGAGGCATTCCCTGTTCCATGCCTTTCCCAATTCCTGCATGACAAATAGTAGGGACATGATGTCAAGAATTCTACAAAAACAACCTTATAGGCCACAATCCTCTGTTCACTTGCTGGGGAGTAAGCCTCACTCTCATTTCTTAAAGGTTCCTCTGTTACACCTACTTCTCCGAGTAGACATGTATAGGGCATGTATGAAACTCTTACTCCTGCTGCTTTCAACACTAAACTGCTCCCCACCAAACTATACCAAGGAAAAATTTTTAAAGGAGGGCAATATGGTTAAGGAAGTCAAAAGTATAACACAGGGGTCTCAAACTCAACTTACCTGGGGGCCACTGGAGTAGAGTCTGGGTGAGGCTGGGCTGCATCAAGTATTCCACCACTGCAGTGGTGGTGGGCTGCTCATCCCGCGTCGCTCCCGGAGGCCGGCCCGGGCGCCGCCGGCGCTTTGAAGACCGCAGGGCCCCTCCCCCGTGCCCCCCATCCCGGCAATTGGCCCGCGGGCCGCGAGTTTGAGACCCCTGGTATGAACACCTCTGTTGACCAAATGGAATTAAGTAACCATCCCCTATTATTGCATACTCTGTATTTCCATAATGGACTAAATATCTGTGATTAAAATAAGACCAATACATTGTATTCCTTGAACATCCATCACCATTTGCAAAAGTACAAATACCTTTACTGGCTATTTGCCTCTAAGGAAGTCCTTATTTGGTTCTGGTTATATACCACTCCCATACCAATACTTTCCCTCTCATCTCTTGAAGACATTTCTGTTTACTGGAAAGGATAAAATTATTCATTTCAAATTAGATACAACATCACACAGACAGACTTGGGTACTTGCCTTTTATTGTCGAGTTCTCAAGTTAAATACAAATCTATGAGCTTTTCCATATGAAATTATAGACTAGTGCAACTATTTTGTTATAGTAAAGATGTACAGATGATTGTAAGATAGTTATAGTCTTTCTTCATATTCTATTTACACTTTAATACATTGCTCACTATTTACATTTCTAAACGTATACAATAGATATAAATTGGTTATCTGCACTGTACAGTTCTTTCATTAATTCATATTGCATGTATGACAGCAGTGCTTTGAGGACTTCCCTAGAAACTCTATGAACAAAAATAGGGTTAAATGATGTGATGTCCTGATATCTTTTCTATACAGAAAAAAATAATGTAAGAATATCTGTATTAGGTACCCATTTAATTTTTTTTTTCTAGCTGTAATGAAGGGGAGTAAAAATGGCAGAAACATTTCCTTATGGAATATTTGCTTGGGATGGCACTTTACCTGAGATACAAACAATTATCAAAAACCAAGTATAATTCCATTTTAAGAGAAAGTTATGTAAAGAACTTATAATAATAGAGAGTATGCAAGAAATTGCACTAACAATGGTAAAAGACCCTATTTTTATGAAATAAGAATGCAAGCTATCCATTTAGGAAAGTTTCCACCCTTATCTACTGATATGTTCAAGCTTTTATTCTCATCCATCTGGTTTCTTTTTTTGCTGCATGATACAGTACTTAATTTTTAAAGGGAAGCAATGCAGATCTTAACAGATCTTGGAAGATGCAATTCCAACTGAAACAGAGCTTACAAAGGAATGTGTGTGTTTTAGATATTCATATTTTTTTCAAGTAGCATCTAACACAGCAAATTCCTCTTGACCAAATCTTTCATAATTGAAATTCCTATGCTAATAAGGTAATTAAAAATAAATTCACATATCCATGCATATTGCAGCTTACCATTTTTTTCTTACTAGTTCACTGACATCAGCAGGTTTTATATGATTTTACCTTTCTGTGTCTTTGTTCTGTCATTGGAAGATATTTTGTTAGGCACAATATGACACTGTAAACATAACTGATAAGTTACAGAGAAATCATATACAGAACTTAAAATTAGAAGTTTTCCAATGTTTGAGAAAGACATACACATACCTATGACCTTAAGACATGCTGAGCCACACCACAGAATATAAACTCTGTTACATTAGTAGTTATAATAATTTATCTATCGCAATGCCCTCTGTTGTGAAAGTAACAGGGCAATTCTACTTTAGTTCAGTAAACTTATTGAAAAACTGTGTTGGAAAATGAGGAATTCAAACTAGGACTGTACTGTGTTTTACAGTCAAATGTCCCAAAAGAATACAAATGTGAGATTAAATACTACACTTGCAAATCACCTGCTAATTAGAATACCTTAAGAAAAGGGAACATTAGAAATCTTTGTAGCCTTTTAGAAACATGCATCTTAAGTTTTGAAGTCAAAACTTCAAGATAAATTTGGGGATGGTGTGGCAGATAAACAGCTCTACTGCCTGTAGTGCTTGTATATTCAGGCATCTTTACATATGGCAAGCAGCAAGTTAACATGTATAACCAAGCTGGAAGGCATAAAAAAGAGTTAAAGGCACACTTGAACAGCTCCTGAAAATAAGATTTCATTTATAGTATAGGTTAACTTATGGACAAATTGATCTAGTCTGCAGACTTGAATGCTAAAAAGCTTTTCACAGATGGTGCCTGCTCCAATTGATGCATGGTGCCATCACAGGATGCTCCTCCAACAACCCTCTCTAAGCATAGTAGGAGTTACTGTGCAGGCAATTTTTACCTGTGGAACAGTCAAATACTCGGTACCCCACTTAGCTTGAAGTGGTAAAGCACAAGAAAGGCTTTTACCACTTAACTCTTCTATGTTGAATAAACTGCCCCTTCCATTTAGTAAAGCCTTCTATGAAGCACTGGAAGTAACTTAGAAGTAACAAAAGTCTGTTCCATTGCGGCTGGCAGTTTTTAAAATGAGATGAGCTTCTCAGACCTATTTGTACAAAATTCTCACTGCATTTCTATTTTATGCTGGCCAATCCTTCTGCAAAGTGTGAGATAAGCTGACACACTCATTTTTTGATATATACAAATGGCTGAAGTTTTAACCAGTTAACCAAGTGGGTCAGCAAAGAGAGCAGACTGGTCCTGCCAATGAGGAGTCTTCACCAGTTCAACTTTCCACCCCCTGCCCACACAGTGCAAAATCCAAGATTCTGTTCCAAAGAGATGAGTGGGATCATGGCTATTGGCCATCCAGTAACTGACTTCTTTGGTGCTTCTCTCAAAATAGCACACATCTGCTGGTGCTGAGAACAAAAGGTATGAGATGTGTACACTACTTTTCTGGCAAGTGTTCCTATTATGTTAGAAAATGAAGGTAAGGCAATAACATTAAAATATATTCTTGACTGCAAACCAAGATTCTGATCAGGGGGAAAAAACCCTTGAAGATAAAAATTCTATATACCAAAAAATGTTTGATAGCTTTAAAGCATTACATTATGGAAGAAAACAAACTATTACTGAAGTTCTAGTAATATATTTCAGAAACTTTAAAGTGAATTTTATTAAATGTTATGTGTATGCCACCATGTATAGTATATGGAAATCTCTCGTGATCGTGTATGTGGCATTCTCTTCAAGTTCCAATTGTCATGTTCCATTAAATATTCTGTTATTGGGTTTTACTGTGTAAGCAAACACAATGTTAAAGGCATTTAAATATTTTGTGTGTCTAAAATAAAATAAAATAAAATAAAATAAAAACAAGCCCATAATATCCCAATGTGACCTTACCACCTGATTCATTTGTCCATGTATTTTAATGCAAGATTGATTACTCCCATTATCTCATAAGCACATCAGACACCAGAAATCCTTCCATGAAAGTAACAAACATAATCACCTAGGTACCAATGAGCATAAAACCTTTTCTTCTTACATAGAACTTATATACTAAAGGAAAAAGGAAACAATACGAAAAAGAAATTGCATCTGCATCTTTTCAGTGGGTGCTGGGCATGAATGGACACTTCAACTCCATGTGGTCTTCACAATATCCTGTGCAGTCTATTTCTTTGGTAATCCACTAATCGCATAACTTCTTGTTGAACTGAAAGGGAACACTTCACAGAAATTCAGAATTGGGTAACTGTCCTAGCACAACCAGCATAAACAAAATGATACCCTGCCACAACAACCAGACAGTTCCTTGTTCTTTCATCTCTTGTAATGGTTGGGAGCATCTGCAAATGCAAACTTCAGTCTGTAGGCTTCTGCAAGGAGAACACTGATATCTTCATTTCCCCAGTGCATTGTAGGCAAGTTCTGTAAAAAGATTAGTAGTTCCTAGTGGGGGAAAGAAGAAAAAGAAATCAGAATAGGAGCTTTCTTGAAAATATCTCACTAAATATTAGACAGATTAAGCTTTGCTGTGTTTTAGCAACCAAAGGTTCCAATCAACACTGCAACTACTGAATTTAGTAATTAATAAATCAATAAATTCATAAATGAATAACACAGAACTCCATATGGGAGAAAAAGTCAAAGAAAGGATGGAAGCATAATTCATATGCTACTAAATATGGGAACAGTAAAAAAAGATGCAACAACAACAACAAATTGTTAGTGAACTCTTCGTCATCTAGAGTTCTCGTTCCAATGGAAACATCCTGAAAGGGGAAGAGACACTTGTGTCTAGAGCAGGGCTGCTGGTGGAGCTTACATAAGGGCAACGTCCATAGTGGAGCTCTTCTTGCATCTGTTCCAGCTGCTCACTAACTTGCGCTTATGAATGCGAATTTGAATAGTGTAATACATTCCATTGAAATGGAGAAGTTCTGGTGCCTATTTAAAGTGTTTGGAGTGCGAGGATTAAAAAAATAAGCTTTGGGACATACTAAGACTTTGAAAAGAATATTTTAATTGATTCTCACAAAGTCTCAAGTGAAAAAATTAGTAAATATGGTGAGGTAATAAAGCAAGCTTGTATTTATTTAGAGATGGTTGAAGCGTTTGTTACGTGCAAATCCCAATACGAAACAACTTGATCAGCAGCTCCTGAACTAATGTGCAAAATGAAAACTATCTAGCCAACAGTTTCTGCATTTCTCTGAATATGGTGGCACAGTTCTCAGCTCGGTAACACTGTAAAATACATTTTAAAATGCCTCTGTTAAGCTAAAATACATTCAAACATATGCATTTAAATGTGATTTTTCATGCAGACTGAGGCAACAGGAATTTGAAAGTGAAGCAGACTGGAAACAAATTCACCCATCCTAACTCCAGTAACATGTACCTATATAGTTGATCGCTGTGATCCAGTGCCCACATTATACTTAGTGGGAGTGCGTTATGGGTTCTATTTACCTTCCTGTTTCAGTGAATTCATTTTTACTGTTCAAAGAGTTACCACATAAGCATCTCTGATTCAGCATCAGCTGACCAAAAGGTACAGAGTATGCTCAATTAAGTATTAATGGCACATGCAGTAGTAACAGCCAGGAATCTTCTCAGATCTGGATAATTAATTCTAGCATTTCCTGAGCTTCATATAATGAACAAATATGTTACACAGGGTATTAGTCACACCAACACTACAGTAAATATGCAGATTCTACCTACTAATTACTAAAAAGTTTTAAAACTTATTGCCCTGCCTTTTAAGAATACAAGATACTAGCATTAAAATACTGTAAATGATATCCCTGTAAAGTGAGGACAAAGCTCCCAGTGGGAATGCACAAAGCACTTCAAAATTCCAATGTTAGGCTGAATTAGGGCACAATACTATCCATGTTTAGACAGGAAAAAGAAGTCCCATAGGACTTTCCTTTCTGTCAAAATAGGCAGAGGACTGCATCCTTAGAAAGATCTGGAGCCACATATTCTAGATCAGTGGCCCCCAAAATTTTTCATGCTGCTGCCCCTTTTCCTCTTGAAGCACCCCCACTCCTCTTTCTTTCTATTAGGTCTATTGCTCCATTGCAAATTTAAAACAACCAATCACCTCCCATCCCCATCTTTCCAGCGTCCCCAGGGGTCAATACCACCCACTCTGGGAATCACTGTCCTAAACACAGCATAAACGGGTTCAGAAACACCAAATCATTTAATAATTCTAAATAGTTCTCCATACCCACGCTTCACTACATACAAGAAAGCCATCAGTGCACACTGAATGACTTTAACATCCATTTATTAAAATCTTTGGGTTTTCAATACCACACACCAATGAGAATAATCAATTTTATGGTAGATATGTTTCTTTCATTCACCCTGGCACACATACATAGAAACTCAAATGCAGCATAAAAGCCAAACTGCTCATACCATCACATTAGATTCAACAAGTGATGGCTGGCTTTTGCAAAACCTATTTTTCCATAACTGATGTCTTTTAAAATGCCACCACCCTTTAGATCACTTCAGGATTCTGTGCAGTGCGACTTTTTATCCATCTCCCTCAAAATTATCTCTGATCTCACAGATATGGTTCCAGAAATATTCCAAGCTCCAACCCCGAATGAATCAGTAAATGCAGCCTTTTGTGGCTGATTTCTTTGACAATTCTGTTATTAGTTGGAAAAAAAGCCCTGTCAAGTCCTGCAAGAAACAGCCTCTAAAAATAGAAAAATAAGTGATAGTTATATTGGACTCAACTGCTAGTGTTTAAAATTGGTCAACTAGGGCTGACAGTTCTCAACAAGGTGAAACTGAGAAGGTGACACTTTGACAGAACAATCTTCCATTAATCTTTTGATAACATAGGGAGATACATTGTCCATGTGATTAATTTCAAATTTTTCAGGAGAAACAATTTCATGGAAGGGAATGCTTCAAGTTGCGGAAAATAAAGCTAACAAATTGAGAGTTTCATTTTGTCCCCTTTCATATTTGAAATGGCATACAAAGCAACAGATTTTTAGAGCAATGCAAAGCATATTTTGAACAGGAAAGCAAGATAGATGGAACTCCAATGTATTTATGACTTATTTTTTCTGTTAGGTTCCCATTCTTATATGTTTACAAGAACATTGTTGAAGTCTGTTCCAGTCACATGGGAAAGATCTACATCTTTGCAGCTTAAAATATTTGTTAGGGTTGTTATTCTGCTGCTGCTTCTGATTATTATTATTATTATTAATTACATTTCTATACTGCCTATAACCAAGGCTATCTGGGCAGTTTATTATTTCAGAACTTTCCCACATTTTTCCTCTTCAAAAGAAAAGGAAGGCCTTTCAAAGCAGCTTTCTGACTTTAACATAAAAGTAAATATGGATTTCAGCACTTAACTATAACTTAAGAGAAATTACCAAGAAGTATATATAAGATATAAGAGACAGTCCAACATCCATCCATCCATCCATCCATCCATCCATCCATCCAAGGACTCGAACAAAGGTCTGGAGCTCTACAGTTGCAAGGGGCCCACAAAACATTCCCTGGCATGAAATCCTATAGGAGGCAACTCAGCAACTCCTCAAGCTTCTGCCATGCTATTGACAAAGGAAAACAGCAATGGTGCACCATTTTAAATTAAAGCATGTTCGTTTACTAAAGTTGATTAGCAGTCAGCTGAATCAAACAGATGCTGCCTTTGGGAGGGGAAGGCAACATGAAGAAGCTGTTTGCTTCAGTGGCCATGCACTTACAAAGCAAGCACCTGCTTGGTTCAGCCTGATGTTACTCATAGCCCCACTTGGTGAACAAAAATATGATATGCTGTGGGCTGCAGCCCTGGCCATCCAGTCACTGCAGTGCTTTCTCTTAGCAGTGGCAAGCTATGAGGATACCCAACTCCGTAGGATCCTCCCCCACAAGCCAAAAAAAAAAAAAAAAGAGTTGGGCTGACTGGGGCAAGTTGCAAACACTTTGCTTGGGGCTTCCTCAAACCTGAAGATGCTTACAGATACTGGAACATTGTACACATGTAAGATAATATACAATGCAATAAAAATACTGAAAGCACATTCTTAGAGCAAACTGGATAACAAACACAAGAGAACAGGAAAGTCAGCCAATTAAAATGCCTTGGTAAACAAAACAACCATTTTGACAGAGCATCAGAACAAGTGCTAGTCACACTTCCAAGTGAAAAATATTCCACAGTTGGGGTGCCACACCCAAGAAGATTTCCTCCCTTGTTTACATATAATGGGCTTAAAATTCTTAGGAAAATGGCCTCCCTGATGTTTTGGGCAGATTGACACTGGCTTTCCTGCATATAGGGCTTCAACTAGTTTAGCACTTCAAAGGCAAACACTACCAACTTGAATTGTACTTAGAACCAATCAGTCAGAGAGCACAGCTCCTGCTTAGCCATATGGTTACAGTTCTGGCCTTTGCTTTTGAAGGAGAGGACAAGGAGAATTAGAGCTGGGGGTATAAGTACATTATCATGCCAAATATACTTATGCCCCCATGTCCTGATGGCCTCACCTACCAATATGTTCAAACAGGTCAGCCTTCTCCAGCTTGGTACCCTGCAGATGTTTTGGACTTCAGTTCTATTCAGCCTCAGCCAGCATAACCAATAATCAGGAATCGTAGGAGTTGTCATCCCAAACATCTGGAGGGCACCAGGTTGGGGGAATGCCAATACAGGCACTGAACAGAAATATACTGAAGAGATAAGGTATTGAAAATGGATTCTTATAGAGTTTGACAGCTCAAGTGCCATGATGGAGCAAGCTTTCCCCAACCTGGGGTCTTCCTGATGGTTCAGAAGACTATTCCCATCAGCCCAAGCCAACATGATCAATGGTCAGTAAGATGGGAATAGTTAAAACCTCTAGGCTAGAAAAGACTGCAATGGGCTCAGGTAGCACCCCCATGCTACTTTCTGAAATTCAGTCTGTATGTATGAGCAGAGTCACCATATCACTGTGCCTGCAATGTGCAATCTGTGGAGTGAAGCCAGTAACATTCCATGGTTGTTGTTATCTAACTATACTGAGAAATCAAGGTGTACCAATGAGGACACAGTCAATTAATCCTGACAAAGGGCAACCAAGTCATTTGAGTACCAAACCCAGGGCTGAAGCTTGACTGATTCCAGCTAATCCACATTTTTCAAAGTAGCTACAGTTGAGATGCAATGACCCTTTCTGAGACTTTGAAAATATTAGTAACTGGCTAATAACCTCCTGAGAGCAAGAGAGTTTATTAAGAAGAGGATATATAAATGCTTCTTTCAAGCCAATTAGTTCCACCTTTTATTTCAGTTACTGTATCTTGAACCACCCAGTGCATCGCACCTTCCAGTGGCTTATGATCTTTTATTCTTAATAGCCAAGACAGATAAAGCTTGCACCTCTCCAAACACTTGGTCTACATCCTCA